GGGGGGGGGGGGGTGTGACCCTCTCAGGCTTGTCCAGAGAGGAGACTGAAATGGATCTCCCAGCTCAGGCCTCGGATTTCCAACCGCCCTCAGCCTGTCCTTCTGGATGCCAGACAAGCTCAGAAGCCCCCCGCCATGGGCCAAGGGCGTCGCTGTCCCGGTAGGGGCTTAGGCCAAGTCTTAGCATCACCTCACTCCTCTCTCACCCCACACCCAATCCGGCAGCCAACCCCACCAACTGTAAACTATGTCCAGGGACCCCTTCTCACCCATGGTCCAGCCCCATCACAATTCTATCTGGAGATCACCTCCTCCCAGGCCTCCCCGCTTCTGTTCCCCTCCCTGGTCCACAGCTTCCTAAAGCCTGCATCAGAGCATTTCTCTCTTCTGCTCAAAAGCCTCCAGCGACTTTGCTCGGCATCAAATGCTAACTGCTCACAGAGCCCAGGAGGTTCTATGGCAAGGGGTCCAACTGCCAACTGAGGTCCCCAGGGCTGGGGTGGGTGGCAAATCCCAGCCCACCCCCCCCCCACCTGGTTTGGTCCAGCTCAAGAGCTAAGAATGGTTTTTACACTTATAAGTGGTCAGGGGAAAAAAAAAATCAAAAGAAGAGTAATACTTCCTGACACATGAAAATTATATGAAATTCTCATTTCAGTGTCCATAAAACAAGCATTATTGGGATGGGGCTATGCCCATCCATTTTCAAATGGCCTATGGGAATTCCCCGGTGGTCCAATGGTTAGGACTCCATGCTTTCACTGCCGAGGGCCAGGGTTCAATCCCTGCTCAGGGAACTAAGATCCCACAAGCTGTGTGGCATGGCAAAAAAAAAAAAAAAAAATTACTTTCTGGCCCTTTACAGGAAAAATGTGCCTAGCTTTGCTCTAAACAATCCTCTTTGTCAACTCTCTGAGCTCATCTCCCCCTACCTTTCCCCTGGTCTATGACATCCTGCTGCAGTGGCCTCCTTTCTGGTCCTCAGACAGCTCTGCCCACCTCCGGGCCTTTGCCCTTGCTGTGTCCTCCACCCGGAATGCCCTCCTTCCTCCACTGCCCACAACGCTGATTCCTTTACTGTCTTTTGCACTGGAAGACACCTCTTCAGAGAGCCCTTCTTTGATCACCCCTTGTCACTCTGACCCCTTAGTGGGGGGTTATTTTTCCTTCATCGTTCTTATCACTACCTGACGTCATCCTGTGTACCTTTCTGAAAATATTGTTTCCTCTTGATCTCTCCACAGAATGTCACCTCTACACAGGCAGGAATTTTTGTCCCCCTTAGTCACTGCTGCTGGATCCCCAGCAGGTACCGGGTATAGATTTTGAAGGGCCCGGTGCAAAATGAAAATGCAGGGCCCCTTGTTGAAAAATTATGAAGAATTTCAAGATGGGGAGAAATGAGTATGAAACCAAACACGGGGCCCTTCGTGGCTCAGTGTCGGTGTGTGTGTGTGTGTGTGTGTGTGTGTGTGTGTGTGTAGCGGGTGTGTGTGTGTGTGTGTGTGTGTGTGTGTGTGTGAAGCGGGCCCTGATCTCCAGCCCACAGTAGGTGCTGAATAAATGTTTGTTGAATGAATTAAAGAAATAGTGACTCATTTAAAATAAAGTCACATATCTAATATATATCTATATGTACATTTGTTCATTTCAAGAGTACTTTTCAGGGCATCCTAATAATAAACTACAAGCTACAAAATTCAGTCAATCCCCTAGTGCCTGTGTTGATCTAATAGCAATAAACTACTTTGTTCAAACTGAAAAAAAAAAGTAAAAGAAACAGTGACTCTGGGAATAAAAGTGAGGGAGAGACAGACAGACAGATTTTCCAAAAAGTGTTGAGGCACCGGGAGTTTACGAATCTCTAAAATTTTCTACAAATCCGCAATCTTCTTCCATGTAGGATTTTTCTAAAACCTGAAATAAGGGCAGGAGGTTGATGGGAATCCAAAGACTAGGCTCCCGGCTCCAGTTAACTCCCATTTTTTTTTTTTTTTTTTGTGGCATCGCGTGTCATGTGGGATCTTAGTTCCCTGAACAAGGGACCAAACCCGTGCTCCCTGCATTGAAAGTGCAGAGTCTTAACCACTGGACCACCAGGGAAGTCCCTCCCATCTTATGGATGGAAAAACTGAGGCCCAGAGAGGGTGCGAGAAGGCTCAGAGCAAGTAGGGCGCTCTGCTGGGACCTGGCAGAGCAGGCTGTATCATGAGAAGAAGCAGAAAGGAGCGGGGAGGGCGCGTCGGGCAGGTTGTGTGCTGAGAATGGGAAACGGAAGGTCCGGAGAGATGGAGACGGAGGTGGAGACGGACCACTGCAGTCACTGCAGTTGCGGGTGTTTGCTTTCTTCCCTCGGGGCAGCCGAACAAAAGCTGAACCTGACTCCTGCATTTGGCAGAGAAACTGGAGCCTGGCAGGTAGAGGGACTGACAGGGGTGGGGGGCAGTTTTGGGGGGGGGAGTGGAGGCCCAGCTTCTCCTCTCCTTCCTCCCCCAGGTCTCCCATCTGCCGTGCCCGCTCCAGCCCAGGTGGGCTCTGCTCGCTGCCCCCGCCCTCCCTGACACACCCAGAGACCCTCACACCCAGGCTGAGGTTTTAACACCCTTCTATTCCTGCCCTCCTCATCTTGACACTGTGCCAGGCACCTATCAAAACACACCCACGTCCCAAATTAGGTGGGGTTTTTTTGTTTTTTTTTCTTTAAATTAAGGGTACTTTAATTAATTCATTTATTTTTGGCTGTGTTGGGTCTTCGTTTCTGTGCAAGGGCTTTCTCTAGTTGTGGCGAGCGGGGGGCCACTCTTCATCGCAGTGTGCGGGCCTCTCACTGTCGCGGCCTCTCTTGTTGCGGAGCACAGGCTCCAGATGCGCAGGCTCAGTAGTTGTGGCTCACGGGCCTAGTTGCTCCGCGGCATGTGGGATCCTCCCGGACCGGGGCACAAACCCGCGCCCCCTGCATTAGCAGGCAGATTCTCAACCACTGCGCCACCAGGGAAGCCCCTAGGTGTTTTGTTGTTGTTGTTGTTGTTGTTTTTAAGCGGCACGAATGTTTTGAAGGATTGGATTTCAATAGGACTCTGCTTTTGAAATTCAACAATCCTGTGGTTTGGTTTACCACTGGCTACAACTTCTCGGGAATTTTTAGCGGGAAATGTGAACACTAACTAGGAATCGATTTCAAACGGGATGAAAATTTTAGGATCGTTTCGCAGTGAATGAAGCTAACCCCATGCCACGTTTTGTAGGGCTTAACAATTTATTCCTTGCTCTGGTGCCCTCTCTCTCTCTTGCTTTCTCTCTCCCTCCCCCTCTCCCTCTCCTTCCCTCTCACTTCAATCAATGCACTTTCCCCCCAACCAAGGCCCAATAACACAGTCCTAGTAACACAGGTGTTTCTAGTAACACAGCCCAGGGAGAAGGCTTACTCATTTATAAAGTGGAGATAAAAGCTCCTACCCTACATGATTGTTATGAAGGTTAAAGGAGCTGACATCTGCAAAGCACATGGATATCTCCTTGTAGTGTTTGAAAACAAATAAATAAAAACAAAAATGGAATGAAATAAATAAAAATGAGTTCAACGGCATTGAATTTAAATTTTAAACGTTAAAATAAACAAAATGAAAGGAATGTTAAAATTGGCAAATAATAAAAATACATTTAAAAATCTTTTTTTTTTGGGGGGGGGGGAATTCCCTGGCGGTCCAGTGGTTAGGACTTTGAGCTTCCACTGCAGGGGGCACCGGTTCAATCCCTGGTCAGGGAACTAAGATCCCACAAGCCGCTCAGCACAGCCAAAATAAATAAATAAATAAAATAAAATAAAATAAAAATCAGTTGGGAAAGCTTTGGAAGGCCAGAGAATGGTGGAGATATACGCAAAGTCACAGAGCTAGTCAGGGGCAGAGGAAGGATTCGAACCCAGAGCCACCTGCCTTTAAAACCAGGCTTGGGACTTCCCTGGCGGTCCTGTGGTTAAGACTCTGCTCTTCCACAGCAGCAGCCACGGGTTCGATCCTTGGCTGGGGAACTAAGATCCTGCATGCCGTGCAGCAAGGCCAAAAATTTCTTTTAATTAAAAAATAAAACCAGGCTTGTTCCTCTGCCCCATTTTTGACATTCAAGGACTCCTCGGGCTGGGCCCTCTCGGGCCTCAGCTCCCCCTCACATTCTCTGCTCCAGCCAAAAGAACCTCTTCATCATCCCATTATGTCCCTGTATCAACCAGGCTCTGCCCAGCCTCCAGACCTTTGCTCACACTGGTCCCCATCCCCCTCCCTGTGTGCCTTCACTTGTCTAACTAAATCTTCCCCGTCCTTCCAGGTTCTGCTCCAGCACCACCTCCTCCAGGTAGCCGCCCTGATTGCCTTGGGCCTTCCGGATGGGAAGGCCCTGTCATGGGAGAAAGACCAAGGGCTCTAAAGTCAGACACATGTGGGTTTGAATCTCCCTGTTGCCACTTTACTCTGTGACCAGGAGAGGTGAGTTAACCTCTCTGGACCCTGGTTTCTTTGGGCTGTAATTGGGAAGTCTAGCCTAACAGAGGCCAGTGCTCAGGAAGGCTGGCTGCCAGACTCTACATGTGATTGCTCTCTTAGCTTCTGTCACGCTGTACCCTGGACCAGCCTGCACACTGGCAGGGACTAGCAGGGCCGGGAGGGAGTGGGTAATGAGTGAGGAAGGAGCACAGTCTCTGGAAGTTCACAGCCCAAAATATAGCTGCAAGAGAAGCCAGCTAGACCCCACCTCAGGGCCTTTGCACTGGCTGTTCCCTCTGCCTGGAATGCAGTTCCTGCAAATACACACATGATTTCCTCCTCCTTTCCCTTCTGATCTTTACTCTAATATCAGCTTCTTGGTGAGGCCTTTCCAGACAACCTGCTTTAAAACTGCAACCATCTCCCCTGCTCCAGATGCTTTAAATTCCCTTTCTTTGCTTTCTTTGTCTCCCTGGTACAAAATATGCCTTTTCACTTATTTATCTTGTTTAGCATCCATCGCCCCAACACAGCTGTCAGCTCCACAAGGGCAGGGATTTCGGTCTGCCCTGTTCACTGCTGTGTCCTTTGTGCCTAGAACAGCACCCAATACAAATATTTGCTGAATAAATACTCAAAAGCAAGAAATCAGGGTCCCTGAGAAAGTGAGGCCCCAGAAAAGCAAGTGGTCACTGTAGCTGGGAATAGAGATTTTCCGGAAGAAATGTTCTTGGAGACAAATTGTGAGCGATGGGGAGGATCTGATGCACAGTAGTACAGGGAAGAGAATTGCAGGTGGAGGGAACAGCCTGGACAAAGGCATGGTGGCTGGAAAGCTTGAACAGGAAGTAATGTGGAGATCAGGGCAGCAGGGGGCAGTAGAGAGGTAAGGGAGGGGAGGTGGCCAGAGGCTAAAAGGGTAAACTTGAACCTGTGGATGGTGGGCAACCACGGAAGAGTTTTGAACAGGGAGGGGCTTGGTCATACTGCCAAAAGAATCTGATGACAGACAGAGGACAGCAGTCCAAGGGCCCAGTGGATCTTCAGCCAGGTCCTGGGGGACAGGAGCCTGAAGTTGGGGGACGTCAGGCATCTCAGTGGCCTCAGACTCACCTCTGTCTTCTTAAATCGTGCCCGGAGGGTCTTCATGGCCAGTGTCAGGTGTTTATCCTCTTCCCAGGCCACCTACAGAAGGCCAGGGGGTAAGGGACATCAATCCTGGTGGGCAGGAGAGTCGTCCGCCTCCCACTCCTCAAAAGTACCACTTCCTCCTCCCCCCTGGCCATCCCAGCCCCTAGAGCAGGACATGAACCTATCCTATCTTCTAAATGCTGTGTGTCCTTCAGCAGGTCACTTGCCCTGTGTTTTACATCTCTCTTCCATAAAATGCAGGAAAGAAACCCCTCTTACCCAACTTGTGGCCAGTTTCCTGTGAGGTCCCTAGCATACAGCCTGGCAAACATAGGTGCTCAATAAATGTATCCCACCAGTATTCCCTGTTGCCCAAGTAGATCAGGCTTTTTCTGGTTTCAAGCTTTTATCTGTGCAGTTACTTCTACCTAGGATGCCTTTTTTTTTTTTTCCTTCTCTGGTGAACTCCTATTCATCCTTCACAGCCCAGTTCCAAAATCCCATGGTGTTCTGATCAGCTTTGCCTCTTACTAGTAGGCAGAACTCTAACTCCTCAAACTGGGTTCCCCCAGCTCTTCCTCTGCCCCACCCCTGGCTCCAGAGGCTGGAAGTGTCCAGACTGGTTCTGTTTTCTTGAATAGTTAGGGGCTCCTGGGGGCCCAGGCCCAGAGCCGAGGCATCTTAGCACACAGGCATGTTTCTTGGAAAGTCAGAAAGAAAATCCTTGCAGCTAAGTCCCCTTACACCAGCCTGGCTCCTGTGTGAGTGAGAGCACGGAGGCAAGTCACCCAAGGTGGGCAGAGGTCCGGGGTGATGGCTGCATGCATGTGTGTGCACGTGTGAGCACAAGGTATGTGTGTGCATGCATGTCTGTCCAGCTTAGCCTGTTTTGTGTTTTGTGCATGTGCAGGTATAGAGGTCAGGCAGGGATCTCAAGGGGGCATTTTGCCAGGTGTCTGGCTAGGAATTCCTTTCTATGTCTGAGTGGGATTTCTGTTAAGACATATCCTTCACCAGTCCTTTTACCTGCTCACCTGCCCATGAATTCTCCAAATCATCTTTCCACCCATCCACTCACCTGTGCATCCATCCTCCCACCAAAGCACTTCTACATCCACCCACTGTCCACCATCCGCCCAACTTATGTTCTCATGGTTCTCCACGTACCCTTCAACAGTACTCTATCCACCATCCACCCACCATCCACCTGCCCATCCACCCACCATCCACTGATCCATCCACCCACCATCCACTCACCCATCCAATCACCCACTGGCCACTACCCACCCACTCATCCACCCAGCTCATCTTCTCATGGCTCTTCACGCACCCTTCAACCATCCTTCATCCACCACCCACCCACCATCCCATCCACCTGCCCATCCACCCACCCAACCACTCATCCAACCACCTATCTACCTCAACTATGCACCCACCCATACAGCCAACACCCACCTACCATCTACCCACCCAACCATCCTTCATCCACCACCCACTGACCCATCTACTTACCGCACATCCATCCAAAACCCACCCACCCATCCATCCACTTGTTCATCCACCCTCCCATCCATCTACTGCCCATCCTTTCATTCACCCCTTCAATTTAGCCCATTCAATCAATGTACCCATTCACTCACCACCCACTCCACCCACCCTTTTTCTTTACTCCTGTCTAACGGGCTCAATCACACCCAGAGCAGGGTGTAACTGACACCCAAGAGAGAAGTCCGCAGGTTGCCTGGGCAGGAGGGAATCCGCAGGCTTGGGGGAGGGGGAAGTATCCTCATCTAGGGAGCCGCTTCCTGGAAGAGGTGATGATATATGAACAGGGCCTGATGGCTGGGCAGGGGATATTGAGCTGCAGCAGGAGAAAAAAAGGGTACGTACCCTAGACAGCGCAAAGGCTGGGAAGTGGGAGGTGCACGCATGAATGAGCGTGTGTGTGGGTGTCAGCGTGCCTCAGCATAGCTGGGACACACACCAGCCTTTCCTTTCTCCCACATGCCAGGGATCAGGGGCAAGGAGCCTGAGGCCCTAAGGGGAGCCTCCATCCCAGGCCTCCCTTAACTCCTTCCCCTCCTACCTCCTGCAGCTCCAGTGACTCCAGCACCAGGCCACTGTGTCCACTGCCAGCTCTGGTTACCTGCTCCCAGCTGGGCCACCAGCTCGCACCAGCAGCTCCCAGCTCTCAGCTCTGACACCTGATCAGCTCTGAGCGGGCAGCTGCCCCAGGGGGCCGGGGATGAGCAGAGGGAGGAGACAGGCTGGTAGCAGGGCTGTCTGTTGGCCGAGGGGCTCTGGTGGGAAGACACCGATGTTCTTCCTGACCACGGCTGGACGGATTTCAGTTTCTGGAATGAGCCACCCTTTCCCTCTCTTCTCAGCCTTTGTACTTGCGGTCCCTGTGCCAGGAGCCCTCTTTCTGTACCTCCTGTCACCCCCAACTGGCTGATTCTCCCCACCTCAATCGTACTCACTGTTCAGATCTTTGCTGCAACATCCCCTCCTCCAGGAAGCCTTCCTGCTTGCCCCCAGGCTGGGTCAGGCGCCTCCTCTGAGCTCCTTCATTGCCCAGTGCCCTCATTACAACCCACTCACTCTAAGTCACCATTGCCCGGTCACAGGGTGCTGCCTGTGTTCTCCAGCGTCTCCCCAGTAAACAGTAGGTGCTCAATACGTTTCTTAAATGAGTCCTCAAGGCCTCCAGTCCCAGTGATTGTGAGCAGTTTCTCCAACCTCTTGGTGAAGTCAGGACCTGTCCTGCTGAGTGATAATCATCCACCTGGATAACGTTCAGGTAACTTAGAGTGGCGTCCGTAACCCTTCCTAATGAGGCCCCAAATTGCCACCCTGAGGCCCCCGCACACATGCACAGGTACCCTGCATTTGTAAATTTAGAAACTTATGAAATGTGCAGGGGAAAAAACCTTGGACTCGAAGCATAAGTCCTGGGTCCCTTCTCTCATGCTCTGTCGTGTGAGGGGTGGGGTGCGGGGAAGGGGAGCATCAGTTTACTCATTTGTAAAAAGGGGAAAGAGGGAACCGATAGCTTGCGCCCCTCATTTTAGAGGTGACTAGAGAACTCTCACGTGGGCAGTCCCCTAGTTTCCAGCCCGGGTCACTGGACAGCCCTATTCCCGCCACCATCCACATCCCCAGCGCAGTAGGAAGTTGGCTGCTCTTTGCCAGCAATTAATATGGCGACTGAGGCGTTAGCGCGAGCCGCATGCGCCTTGGGGAGAAGAGGCCGGGTAGAGGATGAGAAGGCGGCTCCTCCTTCTTCCTCGTCCTACCCCGTTTCCGGCGGAAGCGGCCGCAACAAGGGAAACTTTATTGTTCCCGTTGGGGCCTGGAGGATGTCGGTGAATTATGCGGCGGGGCTGTCGCCGTACGCGGACAAGGGCAAGTGCGGCCTCCCCGAGGTGAGCGCAGCCGGGTGTCCCGACGGCCGTCGTCAGGGCCGTGGGCTGGGCGGGGCCGGCTGGCAGCGGGCATTCTGGGAGTATCAGGAGACACTGAAGCTAGACAATGGGAGGGACTTCCCAGTGAGGAGGGGGCGGGAAGTGACGCCCCAGCGCGCCTGGGGACGCGACCACGCCCAGCTCCGGATCGGTCAGGCTGGGACTGAGGCTAGGACCCAGGTCGGGAAGTCCTGAAGTTCTGACGGGGTACCAGGGGCTGTAGTTCCAGGCGGAAGGCACTACCGGGGCAAAGGCGCGGAGGTGGGAATAAACAAACTTGGAGAACAGATTAGGCCAGAGAGGTTACCAAAACCAGGCCAAGCTGGGCCTCAAGTGCCAAGCTGGGGAGCTGACACCATCCTGAGGGGGATGAGGAAGGGTTTTGAGCTGGGGAGGAACTTGGAGGATGTAAGTCAGAAAGACCCCTCCAGCCACGCTGAGAGGAAGTCCCCCACCATACACTGAGACCTTGGCGGGGTAACTTCCTTTCGGGTCTCTTCTTCTGTAAACGGGGGAGAAGATTGCCCCCACCCCACAAAGGCTCGTGCGTCCCTTCTGAGTCAGGCATTAGTGAGCTCCCAGGTGGTGTGAAGCCCCACCCCTCTCCTGCCTGGTTTCCATTTTATTCCACAAACATTTATTAAGCACCTACCATGCACCAGACACTTTCTCCGCCCTGGGGCCACATCGGAAGGTGAGAGGCCTCGAAATATGGCGTGGTTAGTTTGTATGGGCTGGGTAATTTCATAGGCTAGTGAGTGGGAGAATTATTCCAGCTATTTCGGGGAAGGGGTGGGGATTTCCAGGAATTGGGCCACGGCTCACTTTTTGGCCATTTATGGTTAGCCTTTGAACTGTCCTGGCACCTGTGGGTATTAATACATTTAGTATATGCTGAGGTATTACAATGAGTGTATAATGAGGCTCCAGGTCTACTGGAAGTCGAATCTTCCGCCATCTTGGACCTTTGACCAGTTTTTGTTATGTCCTACGGCAGTGTCATTCTTTTAAAGGTTGTGCCCTGCCCCCTTCCCTCCTGTTTCACTCCCTTACACTCTCTCCCACCCAACAGGTCTTTGACCCCCCTGAGGAGTTGGAGCGGAAGGTATGGGAGCTGGCACAGCTGGTCTGGCAGTCCTCCAACGTGGTGTTCCACACGGGCGCGGGCATCAGCACAGCCTCAGGCATCCCCGACTTCAGGTCCGTGCGCATGGAGGGAAGTCAAGGCAGGGCTTCCCTGTGAGCTCACAGATGTCTGGCCATCGGAACCCCTCCTGCCGCCTTCCCTCCCGCTGAGTCTGGGGTGATCTGTCAGTCCCCTGGGGTGTTGGGTATGGGAAAGACCCTTCCTTTGGAGCATGTCCCTTTATATCACACCCAACATTCCATTCCACCGGCCAGAACTTGGTCACCTGACTACACCTAGTTCCGAGTGATGCTGGGAAATGTAGTCTTTGGTCTAGGCTCACTGCAAGGCTAAGTAGTGGGGTTCTATTATTACCAGAGAAAAAGGGGAGAATTGATATCAAGGACAATTAGCTCCATACTCACTCACAAATATTTTTCTGTCAGACCTCTGGTGGGAAAAGTGGCTTAACCACCTGGACCTCAGTTTCCTCACATGTAAGTAGGGTGTGAGGCCAGATAATGTCTAACTTTAGGCAGCCTGTGTTAGACAAGAGTCTCATTGATGAAAAAGCAGGGGTCTCTAACTGGTGGCCTCCGAGTGGCCCCTGTAGGTGCTGACTTTGCAACCCTACCCCGTAGGGCAGGCCTATCACAATTGTGCTCTCTTTCTAAGGCCTCTCAGGCCCACGGAGCAGACTCTTACAGCAGAAGAGCAGATTCCTCGTTCTTGGAGGAATGTTAGAATTTTAAGGTGTGAATCTCACCCCCCCCCCTTCCATAACCTGCCATGGCTCCCCATTGCCACACAGGAGAGTTCTAAGCACTTCAGGCTGGAAATCAAAGCTGTTCCCAACCTAGCCCTGGATCAGCTCTCCAACCTCAGCCCCTGCAGCCCCTGCAGCCCCCAGACCACTCACAGGCTGTTGCCAGCCCCCTGGCCTTTGCTTACCTCTTCTGTCTGAGCTGCCCGGCCCTTTCCTGTCTGTTCAAGAGACAGCTCAGCCTCCTCCAGGAAGCCTTCCCACAGTTCCACAAAGAGCCCTCACCGCTTCTACTGGGCCAGCCCAGCCCCGGGTTCCTCCCTCTGCCCCAGCCCCACAGAACTGGAGGGTCTGTGTCCACCTATGTCTCTCCCCACAAGATGGAGGACTCCTTAACGGCAGGGCCTGGGTCCCCTAGGGCCCCAGCATCACCCAGCGCAGGGCCAGGCTCAGTGCAGCAGCATTAAGTGTCGGTTGGATTGAATAGTTAATTTCTGCCCTTGTGTACCACGTTCTCCCTCCTTCCTCCCCCACCCCCTCTTTTGACTGTGTTACTCTGTCTCTCTCTGATTCTCTTTCTCTGCCTCTGTTTCTCTGTCTCCTTTTCCATTCCCTGTCTTCCTGATCCCTAAGCTCTCTCTGTCTCTCCCGCCTGCCACTTCAGGGGCCCCCATGGCGTCTGGACGATGGAGGAGCAGGGCCTGGCCCCCAAGTTCGACACCACCTTCGAGAACGCGCGGCCCACGAAGACTCACATGGCACTGGTGCAGCTGGAGCGCGTGGGCCTCCTGCGCTTCCTGGTCAGCCAGAACGTGGACGGGCTGCACGTGCGCTCTGGCTTCCCCAGGTGCACCCCGCGTCCAGCCCCGCTCAGCCTTGGGCAGGCTGCCCCTCTCTCCGAGCCTCAGTTTCCTCATCTGGAAAACGGGTGTTGATTGCAGCCCCTCCCTCTCAAGGCCACTGTGGCGATTCAGCCAGGAGAGGTGCTTGGTGCTCAGCTGCCAGTGTCAGTGTCTGCTAGACGGGCACGTCTGGAGAATCGAAATCCCCTCTTCCTGGTCCTGGGGGTGGATTCCAGCCCTGAGCCCTCTGGATCCCCTCCACTAAGCCTCTTCCTTCTCCCACAGGGACAAGCTGGCAGAGCTTCACGGAAACATGTTTGTAGAAGAATGTGTCAAGTGTAAGACGTGAGTGCCACCACGGAGGGTAGGGGCGGGGGCCCAAGGTGTGGATGACCCAGGTCGGGCTCTGCAGAAGGGCCTTGTGAGTTGAACCTGATGTTTCCAGAGACGAGGGTGTGACCCTCCCAGGGTGGGACTTGAGGGCGTATCTTCCTCCCGGGAGGTGTATTCATTTCCTGCAGCTGCTGTAACAAACTGCCACAACCTGAGTACCTTAAAACAACAGAAACTGATAGTCGTATGGGTCTGAAAGCTCGAAGTCCACAATCAAGGTGTTGGCAGGGCCGTGCTCTGCCTGAACCCTGTCGGGGAGGATCCTTCCTGTCTCTTCCAGCTCCTCATGGTTTCCGACCATCCTTGGCTGTAGACTCATCACACCGACCTCTGAATCTTTTATCACATTTCCGTGTCCCTGTGTGTCTGTGTCCTCTCCTCTTTTTTTTTTTTTTTTTTTTTTTATTTTCTCTTTTTGCTTTTGTTTTTTTTTTGCGGTACGTGGGCCTCTCCCTGTCGTGGCCTCTCCCATTGCGGAGCACTGGCT